GGGGGGGGGTGCTTCTTGTGCCCATGCGGCTTACCTTCTCTGCCCTAGGAGCTTGGGATGGCAGTGGGGGAGCTTCCTTCTGCATGCTGGGACTGGCTCAACTTCTCTGCCCTAGGAGCTTGGGATGGTGGTAGGGGAGCTTCCTTCCAGGTTCTGTTTCTGTTTTAATATTTAGATCTTTGGTCTATTTTGATTTTAGTTTAGTACACAGTGAGAGATAAGGGTATAGATTCAATTTTCTGCATGTGTGTAACCAGTTTCTCAGCACCATTTATTAAAGAAGCTATCTATCTTCTAGCATATATTTTCCTAATTTCTTTCTCAGTGGACAGTACCCCACCCCTTCCTATTTCATTATTTTCTTATAAGGGTAGTTGTAGTTATATTTAGTGCCCACTCACCTAATTTAGGAATATTTTCCTTTCTCTCAGATCCTTAATCACATCTGGAAAGTTTTTGCTGCATAAGGTAACATTAGATGTTCCATGAGATAGGATGGTATATTGTTGGGGCCATTATTTAGTCTAACACACAACAAGACCGGTGTATATATTTTACAATGTGCATTAGATTATCTTTCCGGAAGGGCACAGGGAGATTACATAAATAGATCTTATGTGGCAGGCATCTTGGTTGGTTTCTTGCCTGTCCCATGTCTTATCTACCCATCCAGAGCTGCTGTCCACTGATTTACCAGCACCTAGGACTGGCCTCTTGGGCCCTTTGACTCATTCCCACACCAAGAACAAAGGTATATTCTTTCATTTGGGTCATTGTTTAGTCTTTTACAAAAATCCAATCCAAGTTGTCCTTAGTTGTGTTAATCATTATCCTTTTTTTTTTTTTTTTCAATACTGGGGATTGAACTCCGGACCTTATGCTTGCCAGGCAGGCACAGTGCCACTGAGCTATATCCTGGGCTCCCTTAGTTATGTTAAGCATGAGCAGGGAAAGAAAGTTTGGTTCTGCATTTGGATTATGCTTTAAAGTAGAATGAGGGTGTTGTGGCTTGGTGTGAATTAGAGTGGGAAAACTCCAAGAGACCGTGACATTTAGAGGAGAGTGGCTTGGAAGTGACTTATCTTTGCACACAAGAGCATTGGGGAACTCTTATCTTAGAATCTCTAAATGGCAGATTTTAGGTTTTGGTTTGAGAAGCAAGACTTTTCATTTAGAGAAGTGGTTTTTTTTTTGGTACCGGGGATCTAACTTGGGTCCTTGCGCTTGCGCAGCAGGCGGTGAAACCACTGAGCTAAATCCCTGGCCCCTCAGCATCTTGAGTGCTGCTGGGATTACAGCTGTGAACCACCACACCCAGCTAAGCTGTAGCGTGCCTCAAATTACTGACAGAGTTTGTTCAAATACATTGTTGGGTTTACAAATAGAGTTTCTGATTTGTTAAGTCTAGACTGGGGTCTGGTATAAGGTGAATTTCTTTTTATTTTAAATTAATTTTATTGGTACATTTTATGTATACAATATAATGACATGCATCATTGGAAATTTATATAATCTCTCTTGGTTCTTATTTTTCACCCTTCCCCTGCCTTCCCTTCAACCCCTTCATCCCTCCCTATTTACAAAGACTTTGTTTCCAGTTTTTCATTTTCTCATGTTAATTCCATTCGCTTCTTTCCTTTCCCCTACCCCTCCCACTTCCCCTTCCCTTTTGTCCCTTTTCTTCCTATTTCACATTATC